AATTAATAATTTCAATTCTTAATGTTTGAATTAACGAAGGGCATTTTTTGGTATTTTGAATGTTTCATCATTTTCTGTCTTTTGCTTTATATATATATATATATTCATATTTATCAAATCAAATCCTTGGTTAAAATTTTAAAATGGATAAGTATTTTTTTTATGAACGAAAAAAAAACATAGAAAATAAATAAAAGGGGCAGTTGGGTCAAAGAACAGATTCAAATATATGCTGTTACGTACACAAGCGTGAGTGCAGCGAGGCCAAACATAAAAGAAAAAGAAAAAAAAGCCCAATCTCATCCCTCTCTGTCCAAATTTTCAATTTCAATTTCACTGAATCCCAAAAAGCCACGCCCAAGGCACACACAAGTTCGTCATGCATATGCATATGTGCATTTCCTCTGTTTCATCTTCTTCTTCTTCCTCTGTTTGATCGCCATTTCGAATGTGAATTTGCAGGAGCTAGCAATTGAAAATGGCGACCCTTCAAGATATAGCAGTATCGGCGGCCATCAATATATTGTCTGCATTGGGCTTTCTCGTGGCCTTTGCTCTGATACGGCTTCAACCGTTCAACGACAGAGTCTACTTTCCCAAATGGTACCTCAAGGGGATCAGAGGAAGCCCCACGAGTTCTGGGGCTTTGGTCAAAAAATTCGTCAACTTGGACGCCAAAACCTACATCAAGTTTCTCAATTGGATGCCGGCGGCATTGCGGATGCCTGAGCCAGAGCTCATTGAACACGCAGGCCTCGATTCCGCTGCCTACATTCGGATTTATATACTCGGGTAACTTTTTCATGTACATGTTACGAAACAAATGTCACATGTGACCGTCTTAATGGAACTGTTATTAGTACTCCAAAATATTAGTCTTACGGAACAGGAACCTTAGTGCAGAATAAATAACAATTTTGGTATGCTAATAACAGTTCCCTAATTTTTCATGCTAAACTACTGATGATATTTTAATGATACTAATTAATTACACGTAGGTTGAAGATATTTGTCCCCATTACTGCGCTTGCGCTTATTGTTTTGGTGCCTGTCAATTATACCGGAAATACGCTGGGAAAGACCCGTGAAGTAACATTCAGCAATATCGATAAGCTCTCAATATCCAATATTCCTTCCGGATCTCCCAAGTGAGTTTTTTTCTCTCTTATTTTACTTTGTTTTCTTCTAGGCTGTAAATGTCATGGTTTTTGGGACTCAGAAATACTTCTTGTTGTTGGTTTTAATTCACCAAGTATGAATTTATCTTATGTCTTGTAGGTTTTGGGCACATATGGTGATGTCTTATGTCTTCTCCTTTTGGACGTGCTTTGTTTTATACCATGAATACAAGACAGTGGCTGCTAAAAGGCTTGCATTTTTAGCATCTGAAAAACGCCGTCCAGATCAATTTACGGTGAGGGCATCTACATGGTGCTCTGTTTTGTTTCCTCAGTGATATGTCTTTATTGAATTTGATTTATTATGTCTGCTCCCATTAGATTCTGCTTAGCTTGCTGCTGTTGACAATATTAACTCTATGTCCCCCACAGGTTCTTGTAAGGAATGTACCCCCAGATCCTGATGAATCAGTCAGTGAGCATATTGAACATTTCTTCTGCGTAAACCATCCCGATCACTACCTTACACATCAAGTATGCGGCTTTTTAAACTTGTTTGATTTTTTTTGTTAGTTTGACTGCTGAAAGAATCAGCATATACTGCTGAAAAACAATTCAAGAACAAGATAGTAAACTGTATTGTATCTGCAATAGGTTTCCAGTGTTACAACAACTTAACCATTGTTTGTAACCTTTAAATGTCTGTAGGTTGTATACAATGCAAATAAACTTGCAGCGGTGGTCGAGAAGAAGAAGAGTTGGAATAACTGGCTTGTTTACTACCAAACCAGATATGAAAGAAACCCTAAGTCAAGGCCTACTACAAAGGTTTCTTTCTTTACTTGATATTTGATAACCGCTCAATTATGTTTTTGTTTGAGAGTTTCATTTGTTAATAATTTGTCACTATTGAGTTCATCATCTCATGTCCCATTAGACAGGTTTCTTGGGCCTGTGGGGACATAAAGTGGACGCGATTAATTACTACATTGAGGAGATTGAGAAGATGAGCCAAGAAGTGAGTATGCCTTCTTATACCTATGCTTTGTATTGACTTATGCTTTGTATTGACTTATGCAAGTGTTGTTGCTGTTTATTTTTACATCTGCTAGCTAATTTAGCTATATCCAATGAAGATGCTGCTGCATGTAGCCAAATATTCTCTTCTCTTCCCAAAAATGAATGGGAACTAATCTGCTAGAGTATACATGTTGTTTTTGTTCGTCCGTTCTAGATGCATAATGATGTAGATTTCATGCAGGAAAAACAAGAAAGGGAAAAGGTTGTAAGTGATCCTGATGCCATAATGCCTGCAGCATTTGTTTCATTCAGAACTCGATGGGGAGCAGCTGTATGTGCTCAAACTCAGCAATCAAGTAATCCTATCGTCTGGTTGACAGAGTGGGCTTCTGAGCCACGCGACGTCTATTGGAGAAATCTTGCAATTCCATATGTTGAACTCAATGTTCGGAAACTACTCATGGCTGTAGCCTTTTTTTCCCTTACTTTCTTCTTTATGATTCCAATAGCATTCGTCCAATCTCTAGCCAACATTGAGGGGATTATGAAGGTCCTTCCTTTCTTGAAGCCACTGCTGGAGATGTGAGTCCCTATTTCATTCTGTTAGTTATTGATTTCTCATGTGTGGTTATATGGACTAAGAATAAAGGTTCAAATCGTCACCCCTCTTTTCTTTCTTTTTTCCGTTTTTTCCCAGGAAGCCCGTTAAGTCTGTCATCCAAGGTTTTCTTCCAGGAATTGCATTAAAGATATTCCTTGCTATGCTTCCAATGATTCTTATGCTAATGTCCAAGATAGAAGGTTTCACATCACTCTCATCTCTGGATAGGAGGTCTGCTGCGAAGTATCATTTGTTCATACTTATAAATGTGTTTCTGGGAAGCATTGTTACAGGAACAGCACTTCAGCAGCTTGAGAAACTTATGAACGAGCCCTCAACAGAGTAATTTTGTGTAACTCTTTCCATGTGTCTATCCAAACTGTCAGAGTTGTTTGTCTTTTGTTGTGTTAATGGTAAATAATAATTTCCAATAAGCAGAAATCAAGATGTACCATTTGCATCCCTAGGTTTCTTTTCTTATGGAATTACGTTGATGTTTTTCACAACTTAGCAGCAATGTTGACATTTGCATCTTTCTGTCTTACACTTGGAATTTTCCAAATTTGCCTATTGATGATGGGATATCTGACAGGATACATACTGTTGGTTTTGCAGGTTCACAAAAACTGTTGGGAGGTCCATTCCAATGAAAGCCACATTCTTCATCACTTATATCATGGTTGATGGTTGGAGTGGAGTTGCTGCAGAAATCGTCAGATTGGTTCCATTAATTTTGTTCCACCTTAAGAACACATTTTTGGTCAAGACAGAAGAAGACAGGGAGCAGGCAATGGATCCTGGTTCCCTGAACTTTGCTACAAATGAACCTAGGACACAGTTATATTTTCTGCTGGGGCTTGTGTATTGCGTTGTCACACCTATACTTCTTCCTTTCATTCTTATCTTCTTCTCTTTCGCCTACCTAGTTTTCCGTCATCAGGTACGTTAGCTATACCACCATTGCTCAAGTTCATATTTTCCATGATTGTCTTGACCATTGCTCTGGCCGGAGAAATATCAAGCGCAAGCTCATTCATTTATATATTAGCATTAAGCTGAACTTTGAAGGTTGAATTTTTTTCTTAGGTCGTGCTTAGATATTCTAGTGTAAAATCCTAGAGCAATTTTCCTTGTTAGGTGGCACTAATAGTATTCATTTCCTTTTGTTGCCAGATTATTAATGTCTATGACCAGAAATATGAGAGTGCGGCAGCCTTCTGGCCACAAGTGCATCTGCGGGTAATTATTGGCCTAATCATATCCCAAATTCTTCTAATGGGGCTATTTAGCACATTAGGTGTTGCAAAATCAACATTTATTCTCGTTGCACAGCCTGTTTTGACAATCTGGTTCCATAGAGTCTGCAAGGGACGTTTCGAATCAGCATTCCTTAAATTCCCATTGCAGGTTAGTTTCAATTTTCCAGTTTCCGTTACAAGGAGTTTTATCTGTACATTTACTTAACCTTAATCACTTGCATTAATATATTCTTAATCTATTTATATGTCTTTGGTTTGGCAAATGGCAACAGGAAGCAATGGTGAAGGATACAGTTGAAAAGGCAACAGAACCAAACCTGAATTTGATGAACTATCTTAAGGATGCTTATGTACATCCTGTGTTCAAGGGAGGGCAGTCGCAGAAACATGAAGACCCTGATGAAGAAGACAGCAGCCCTCTTGTTCCCACAAAGAGAACATCCCAAATGGGAAGCAAACATGAGTCTGACGTCAGTTCTGAAGCTAAAATTTGATATATCTGACATCTTATCTTAGGATTAAAAGCCCCTTCTTCTTCTAGTGTTTATTAATTTCCCTTTAAATGTTGTTACTTAGTTTTGACCTTGTAAATGCACCAGGAAGAACATTGATTTATACTCTAGTAATCATTCTGTTGACAATAGGGAAGGAAGCCTATATTTGTATGTTGTAACATGAGTTTATTTACTGCCATGGCAGCTTGGGCTCATTGGTGGTTTGTAGTTTTGTTAAAATAGAAATTACCAAAATTTGTTTCAATTGTATGGTTTAATAAACATAAACAAACAAACAATACCACTATCAAGATTTTGGATCCAAATTACAATTTTTGTTTTTTTTAAATACAAGTATGAGAGGGACATCGAACTTGAGTTCAAAGAGCCGGCTCACTGCCCTAACCTAACCCACCTCTACCCAAATTACAAATTTAAATAACCCGAGAATGTTGTAAAGGCCTGGACCTTTTTTTTTATTTTATTTTTTGTTATAAAAAAAAAATTAGTGATTTTTTTTTTTGGGTACAAATTTTATAATATTTACCTGCCAGAAAGAGGAGGACAGTACACAATTTTAGCTAAAATCGAACGGTTAAGATCGAGCATCTTACCCATGGAATTTTCATTATAACAATTCAGGCTCACTGTCACCCATCAATTCAAGCTGTCCTATCTCGATCTCAATCAGCTTTGCTGCGTTGTGCGGCCATTAAAATGCGATTTTTCGATAAAACGACAAGCTCACACCTCTCTGCTCTCGTCTTCCTGCCCCTCCACTGTGATTGGCCTCATTCTTTCTCTCTGATCACTCCTGGTGCATCAGTCTGATTTTTACTGAAGAAATCCAATGATGTAAGTTCAATACCTCTCACTTTGTTGTGATTGAATCTTTCAGTTCGTTATTGTTTTGTGAGTTTCTGTCTCGTTGCTTAGCTGACGATGCAATTGATATTTGGGTAGATTTTGATCATTTATACTTGAATTGTGAACGGCCATCGAGATTTTCTCAAAATGGCAACTGGGTTTAACTTCTTTTCTTGATTGACGTAGTTTTTTTATTATTGATGACCCTCTCATGGATCCTATTCTTTCTTCGATTGGAAATGTTCATCTTTGAAAATGTTGTCATTGCAATTGTGTGTTACAGCTTGAATCATTGAATTGCCAGTGATTTAAGAAGTTAATGATATCTGAGAAGATGATTTTTTGGATCCAATATTAGAGATATTGGCAAATTCGTCTACATTTAATGATATTTTTTGTATACTTCTTTTGAACAGAGTACCTGTTTGCATTTGAGTAGGGAGATCTTATTGCTTGCAAGGGTTTCGGTCTGCAATCTGGTTTGCAATTCTCCACCTTTGAGACTGTAGATGGCAACTCTTCCGCTTTCAATTGCAATACAGGCCTGTTGTTTGAACTGTGGAATCACTGAATCATCTAAGCTGACAGCTACCAATGGTTTTAGACACAGGAACAAAGCTATGCATGGTTTTGTAAAATTGGATGTAGAAAGAAAGCTAGTTTTCCGTGAAGTTGTGCAGAATTTCAATGAAAACCTGCCACGGGATCATAACTTGAAAGTGTATGCTAAATCCCAAGTTTCTGTTGAGCCAATGGAGCAACGATTCTCCACTGGTACTGAAACTGAAGAAATAGACAAGGTATCAACTTATCTATTTAGGACAGAAATTGGGGACGTGGTAAATGTCTTTGTTAGAAAGAGAAATGCCAAGTACATTGTGAATATTGAAGTTCCATCTTTATACCTGTCTAGCAGTGATAGAAGACTAGTACTGCATTGGGGCATGTATAGAGCTGATTCATCCTGTTTCATGCCGTTAGACTTCAAAAGTTCAACCCCAAATGACACAACTACCACCCTTGAAACTCCGTTCATTCAGACTTCTTCCGGCAGGTTTACTCTCGAATTGGAGTTTGAGGCTAAACAAATCCCTTTCTATTTCTCATTTATTTTGACTTCTCCAGCAGATGCTAATGTGAGTGATATGGAGATAAGAAGCCATAGGAAGACAAATTTTTGTGTCCCAGTTGGTTTTGGTCGAGGTTATCCTGGCCCATTGGGTCTCACCTTTTCTAATGATGGATCCATGAACTTTGCCATTTTTTCAAGAAATGCAGAGAGTGTGGTTTTATGCTTGTATGATAACACCACAGCTGAAAAACCTGCTTTGGAGCTTGATCTAGATCCATATGTCAATCGATCAGGTGACATTTGGCATGTGTCATTTGGAAGTGCATGGACTTTTGTGAGCTACGGTTATAAATTTAAGCGGAACCTTCTGCTGACAAACAAAAATAACTTTGATGAAGGGCATGTCCTGCTGGATCCATATGCTAAGGTCATTGCGAAATCTATTCCTAATAATCATGGAACAGGGTTGAAGTATCTTGGAAGACTATGCGAAGAACCTGCTTTTGACTGGGCTGGTGATGTTCGACCTGACTTAAGTATGGAAAAACTAGTGGTTTATCGGTTGAACGTGACGCGTTTTACAGAGCACAAGTCCAGTCAGCTACCAACTAATATAGGAGGCAGCTTTTCAGGTTTGACAGAGAAGTTGGAGCATTTTAAAGATCTGGGTGTGAATGCAGTTTTATTAGAGCCCATTTTCCCATTTGATGAGCAAAAGGGTCCATATTTCCCCCGCCATTTCTTCTCACCAATGGAGTGTATTGGACCTTCTAGAGGCCCTGTATCAGCTGTCAATTCCATGAAAGAGATGGTGAGGAAATTTCATGCCAATGGAATAGAGGTCCTACTGGAAGTTGTTTTCACCCATACTGCTGAGGGTGAAGCTCTGCAAGGAATCGATATCTCATCTTATTATCATGTAAATGAGGTTGAGGATTTGGAAGCCAGAAATGCTTTGAATTGTAACTACCCTATTGTGCAACAACTGGTATTGGATAGTCTTCGGTACTGGGTGACTGAGTTTCACATCGATGGTTTTTGTTTCATAAATGCATCATCTCTCTTGCGAGGGTTCAATGGTGAATACTTATCTCGCCCACCTTTGGTTGAAGCAATTGCTTTCGATCCACTACTTTCGAAGACCAAGATCATTGCAGACTGCTGGGACCCGCATGGCATGGCACCAAAGGAAACTCGTTTTCCTCATTGGAAGAGATGGGCAGAAGTAAACACAAAATTCTGTAATGATGTAAGAAACTATTTGAGGGGTAAGGGTCTTCTCAGTGACCTTGCTACACGGCTTTGTGGGAACGGGGACATCTTCTCGGATGGACGAGGCCCGGCATTCGCTTTCAATTTTATTTCCAGGAATTCTGGACTTCCTCTTGTGGACCTTGTTAGTTTCAGTGGTGTTGAGTTAGCTTCAGAACTGAGTTGGAACTGTGGGGAAGAAGGACCTACAAATAAAACTGCTGTACTAGAAAGACGACTTAAACAAATTCGTAATTTTCTCTTTATCTTGTTTGTTTCACTGGGCGTTCCTGTTCTTAATACGGGAGATGAGTGTGGACAATCCACAGGTGGTTCCCCTGCATACAGTGACAGAAAAGCTTTCGATTGGAATGCACTGGAAACAGGTTTTGCTACTCAAACCACACAATTTATCGCATTTTTAAGTTCATTTAGGAAGAGGCGTAGTGACCTTCTTCAGAAGAGGAACTTCTTGAAAGAAGAAAATATTGACTGGTATGAGAGTGATCAAACTCCTCCAAGATGGGAAGATCCGTCCCGCAAATTCCTTGCCATGAGGTTGAAAGCAGACGAAGATGAAGTGAACCAACCAGGGGATGAATCTTCTCATTCATGGGGAGACTTATTTGCTGCCTTCAGTGCAGCTGATCATTCAGAGACTCTTGTTCTGCCTCCGCCCCGGGAAGGTATGGGATGGCGCCGTTTGGTCGACACAGCTCTTCCATTCCCAGGTTTTTTCTCTACTGATGGTGAGCCCGTCGTTCGGCAAATGGTGGGTTTATTTGCATATGAAATGAAGTCTCACAGTTGTGCTCTATTTGAGGCCAGAAGCTTGTAACTTTGTTAGTTGGTCCAAATTCAATTACATTGTGGAATATTATTATTTCGTTGGTTAACTTTTGATAGGCTACTTATTAATGGTCGGTATAGTAGCACATAGGGCACTGCTGTAAATTCCATGTAAATTCAACAGTCTTTCCTGTAATTTCAATGCCTTCAATTTTTAATTAAAGCAATAAAATAATTATTCAGGAAATTCGTCTTTTCTTTTAGGGTTAATTTCAGTTTGGTACCCTGAAGTTCAAGGTACCAAACTGAAATTAACCCTTTCTTATATACCAAGTGGAATCAGCATGCGTGGTTCTGACATTGAATCTTTGATCGTTTGAAAGCCAAAAACCAAAGGCAAATACACAATGTCCTTGCATATAAGAGTTTTGTACTCGAATAATTACTTATGGAATCCTGAAACTGACTGAAGAGCTTTAATGCTGCCATAACAGGGGATCTAACTGCAACAGCCCCCTCTCCCCAAAGAAAAGAAAACCTTTAGCAAGAAAAAGAAAAGGCTACAAAAACTAAAACAAAAATAAAAACGCAATATTGCTACCACTTCAAATTAATGGCCAGGTCTAGTATAGCTTCTACCAAGCGTATGGCCCGCTGCTTCTCCTGCTGCTTCAACCTACTTGCAATGGACTCAGCATCAAGCCCTTGTGCATTTTGTACTTCATTTTGCTCGGCCCTAACCTCTTGTAGCAATGCATCAACTTCTCTAACAAAGTCTACCCTCAATAGAACATCATCAGCTTCAAGTGGTAGCCGGAGTGGTCCCTGATGCTGATGGAGGATAGAGTCAGAAATGACGAAATTAAATTAACAATTACATAACCTTGAGGACAACATCATCTATTAAAGAGTTGAATCAAAATCATCTGTGAATAGTTAAATTTATTTAGGAACAGAAAAGTTGTGTCCAACAATGTTCACTTGTATTCTGAAGTGTAATAACAATCTATACTAACTCCAATCTTATCTCATTATGGTATTCCCTAGAAAGAATGATAGGGTGGGTCGGAGTAAATGGGACTTCAATCGTCTAATTCCTTTTGAACTTGCTTAAATAGCCAACAGTACAACCCCCACCCTTTTTTAAAAAGCCTATACAAAAAATTCCCGAGAAAGAAACCTTTAATGTAACGTTAACAAAGACTGAACCTAAAAGCCAGACATTCAAAACCTGTGGAAAAGAGGAAATCTGAAAACAACTCAATCGTAAGCCTGCGATATGCATATTTGCAGCATACCTTATCAATATCAAATCCTTCTGGAACAAGAATGCTAAATGGATCCTCTCGTGGAAAAGTATCAACCATGCGCTTTTTGCATTCCTTCAGCCATCCTTCACCATCATACCCATCATGCATATTCAAAAGATCATTGAGCAGTCTCATGGCAGGAGAAGCCTCCCGTTTCAAAATCTCAGCCTAAAATGTCAAGTAAAACTTAGATTTTGTGATTTTCTTTCCAAGAATGGAAAAAAGAAGCAAATAAGATTATACATAAAGAGCTTAGGGGGTATAAAGGCTAGTTTAAACTAATTCTGCAAGATATTCTAGGCTGAAACCATTCAGTAATCACAACAGCTCAAAATTATCCCACTAGTAACGAAATCAAAAGTATAACAAGTCAACAGCTGGTTCCAAAATGCTAAAATCAACAATTTCATAGCTAGAACTTAGAATAGGATGAGAGCAACTCATACCTCAACCCTTCTGTATAACAAATCAAGACTTCTAATAACATCCTTTTCTTCCTGTAAAATGGTCATAAATACCTAAAATCAATAAGCTGGAAAGAGGAAAGAGGAAATGTGAGAGAGTAACGAGGAAAATGTTATTATAGGTTATCTATAACATTAGACTAATCCGAAACTACTCGTTAGTTTGAGTTTGCTGATCTCAAGCTATCAGCAAGGCTGGCCAGTTTATTGAAGCCAGCTACTAACTTATAGGATATGAAAATACCATCTTCATTTCTAGCACTAAATCAGTCTTTTAATAACTATCCTATACCAATCTTGTGAAAAGAAAGATATTGCATTTTCTTGACCAGAATTTTGATCTTATTTTCCATTGCAAAACTTTGAAATCTGAGCTAATGATGCTTAAAACCTTAGACTCACATACGCTGCTGAAGATAAATGTTGCTATGCCAGGCATTAGACTGATTAACGAGGAAAATGTTAAAGACATTCCACGATCAACTTACATCACGTCGAGCAAGGTCAAGACGATTCCATATGACCATCAAAACAAGTTCAGTCAATTCTCCTTTCTCAGCAGCTTCCTCAATTTTCTGCGTATATTACATAATGAACATCAATTAACCCAGAGTCTGAGCTGAAGTAGGAAATTTCAATAAAGCATACATAAGGAATTGAAAGTGTTCACGGTTTCTGATATTACCTCTTCCACTTCTTCGGCCGCTCTGATAAAGCTGGAAATCAATTTCCGAGCTTTCCGAACATCTTCTTCCGGATAACCCTTCAATCTCATGCCAATTTCGCGATACTCTTCAACCTTTCTTTCCTCCTCTTCGTCTTCCTCTTGACGTCTTTGATGCAACTCCTTTGTTTTCTCCCTTTGCCGAGCTTGCCATTCCTAATTTAGAAAAGCTTACTTCCAGTTCCAGCTTCCAAAACTATAAATATGCTAACAAATAATATTGAATTTGGCATAACACAGCAAAAACAGAACACATCTTCATACAAAAATTCATGTTATCTGATTCTAAACGAGAAAAATATGCAATTTGGACACCCATTTGGCCAATTAAGGATAAAGGGCACTTACATCGTCGTAATACTCTTTGGGAAGACCTTCTAACAGTGGCTCTTCCTTGTTCATGCTCTTCCTCAAAACTGAAATTAAAAAACCCAAAAAACATACAACTTCAGGAAGAAAAAATTGAAAACCAAGTGATGTGAGAGCACTGAAAGGCTATCAAATTAATAGTATGTGCCTGTTTTAGGTGCATGTTTGGGCTTGAAAGGAGAGGGCCAGAGCCTTCCATGAGATGAAGATGATGACGCAGGTGAGAGTGGAAGCGCTGTGCACGTTAGCGGGAACACCCTTGTTTCCATTTCTCTTTGTTTTCACTCACCGACTCTTTACTGCGCCGGACTCTTGAGTGTTCTCGGTGTTTGCCAACTTCATGTTCGGAAACATTTGATAACTTTAAAAATAGAAGCGATATTCTACTTTAAAATACAAGCTATAAATTAAAAAGACAATACTAATGTATTTTTTTATTGACAAAAAAAAAAAATTAGTGATTTTTTTTTTTTAAACCGCATATTTCTATAGAGTACTATAAACTAGAGTACAAAATTAGGTTAAATACTTTTTTAAAAATCATTTTCTTACAATCTTACTGTCGATCCTCTTTTTTTTTTGTGTCAATATTCAATTTATGCCACTTTTTAATATTTTTTTTGGCAGTAAATGATCCTTTAGATAGAAATTTCATTTAAAATAAAATAAAATTAGTGGTGTTGTTTGAAAATTAAAATTAAAATTTTAAATCTAGTCAAGTTTACAATTATTAAATATTAATTATTATGTATATATAATGAGGCCCAAGTTCCACTCCACTAGGCCCATCTTCTATATACTACATGTTGGAAGATTCACACTGACAAGGAGTAGAGACTTTCTCTCATTTTCCAATGTAGGAATAAAGTTCATGTATTTGATTCAAACTCCAACATGTAGCTGATATTATCAAATTAAGTTGTGATTTGGATTTAAGGTTTGGAGACTAAAATCCATTTTTGGAATACTGAAATAAATTTTAAAATCTTTTTGGGTACTTAAACTAATTTTCTAGGATTTAAAATAATTTTAGAAAATTAAAACTAATTTTTTAATGCACAAAATAATTCAAAATAATTAATTACTATTTATTAAATAATTTATAAAACTAATTAAAATATTAAAATACTAAATATTCAATAAAAAAACTAAAAGCTAATTCTTAATTAAATAAAACTAAGAGATTACTCAATTAAAAATATTAAGTAATTAGCTATTCCGAAGAAAATTTTGTCCAGATGAAAATTAAAGTAAAAAAAGAAGTTATCATTATTATTATTTTTTTAAAAGACTGATATACTTTTGAATTTTTAAATAGTGTAGCCGAGCGCTATACTATTAAAAGCAATATTTTAAGCGTATAGCCGGGCGGCTATACTTTTTAAGTAAATTCGAATATTTAAAGAGTATAGCCGTCGAATACCTGTTTAAATAAATTCGAATATTTAAAGAGTATAGCCGCTCGGCTATCCTGTTAAAATATTTGAATACCTCTTTAAGAATATTTAAGTAGTATACTCGCACGGCTATACTCGTGAAATATATTCTAATATTTTAACAGTATAGCCGGCAGGCTATACTATTTAAAATTCAACAGTATATCATTTTCTTTAGGTCAATAAATAGTTGTTTTATTTTATTTTCTTTTTTGTAATTAAATAATATCTTACCCTTATTTAATTACTTTTATTAGTAATTATATTTTAATTATTATTTCTTTAGTGAATAATTAGTATTAATTATTGTAATTAACTTCATAAATTATATTACTTAATAAATAGTAATTAACTTAATTCGTTGAAGTCTTGCACATTGACCTTGTGTTCAAATTGATTATAAAAAATATAAAAAAGTTGTGCCGTCAAATTTCAGTGAAGAAAAATACATTATTTAGGATGCCCATCGAGTTATAAGCTCATTAAGCCAACACCCTAAACATTCTTTGTGATTTGCCTGAAAGCATCTTTCATTGATCACATCATTTTTACTATTTCAAGTTATATATAGAAGCATCAAAACAAATTATTAATTATTTTTTTTCCAAAAGAAAAATCCTGCTTGAAATTTACATGAATAAGCTACATTTTCTCCCAAAAAATAATCTTATATATAGTTATATAATCCCAATCTCTACATCTCAAGAAGGATATCATACAAGACGACATACACAAGCCAGCCAGCCAGTCAGTCGTCTTCTTAAACCTCGCATTCAATGGCTAGCTCAGCTGCTGCGCCCATGGCCCCTACCCCGCCAAGCCCCAGCAGGGCCAGAGCCAATTCCTCCTCATTCAACCGCCTAAGCTCCTTGCTCAGCCTCTTCAACACTTCCACATCAACTTCCAGCACCCATTTCTGCGTGCAAGCCACCATCAAGCTCACAAACCCGGATACATATGCCCGCCACATGGCCCAATCACAACCCAGTGATATTTTCCCATCCAGTGCGCTAGCCAGAAATTCTAAATGCGCCCCAAGAACTTTTGGCCGCCGCTTTGATGCCAGCGTCACCGAGTCCACACCCCAAGCGAATGTCCCGCACAGCACTGCAAAATATGCAAGGGCATAGCCACCCAGCATGGCAACCATGCCTCCAGATTCTCTGCCTTCCTGATCCAAACCATGCGTGGAGATGAACCAAGAAGGTAGAGTTTCTTTGATCAAGGACTGAACTAAACTAGACCCACCAGATATCCAAACTAAAGTGGCTCCAAGTGTAGCTGCGATCCTGACTCGTGCCATTGCCGCGGCAAGAGAAACCTGGCCATATCTCATCCCATGCTTGGTCTTCTTCAATCTGTCCACTCTATCTCTGGGCAACCCACAACTTGCAATGTCTCGAACGGAGAACATTAAAAGAGAGAGCACCTCTTCTGTCATGAACATTACATCCCTGACGGACCGATGCACACGTAGGTAAAGAATTCCGGGGGCAACAGGAGAGATCCCACCAGAGAAATGGGAACCAAAGCCATGGCCAAGGAGGGCACCCACGCTGCCATTACTGTAAGCGCGGGTGGAACTTAGCCCGAGAGTGGATGTAAAGCAGCTCTTGAGAAGCTGGACCACTGCATCACCATTGTGGTGGAACACAGTTTGAGACGCAGTAAACACAAGGTAGTCACTCCAGCGCTTTACCTTCTGGGCCCACAATGAGGCTAGGATGGGCATGCATGGCCAAGGGCAACCAGCAGCTAGGGAATTCAGTGCTGGCCCAATCAGGGTTAGGGCACGCTCAGAGGCTCTATCAAGTTTATAAGTTATCGTGAGACTAACAAGGGCAGCAAATGGTAAGGGAAGCGTAGCTGGAGCGCTCCCACCTGCAAGCAATAAAGTAAAGGCATAACAGTGTTAACAGAATAACTATCAGAAGTTAACAACTTAAATCTCAACCAAACATATTCACATTTTTCATCACAAGAGTACAACTGACATAATTTTTCTCAACAAGTTGGATCAGACGTTAGAGGCGATATATGGAAATCTTTCATGTTTCAACCATAACAGGCATCTGGAAAAACAAAAAAGTTCTTTAAAAAAGATCTTTCATTTTTCAATCATAACATACCTACTGCAAGGCTAGGAACATCAACACCAGTAGCAGCTAGGATTTTTTTTATCTGCTGCTCAACAAGTGATAAATTTGCAGCAGGGCTTGGCCAATCAGTTCCATTCATACAAGCTGGCTTCCATATTCCCCTTGTTACTTCTGCTGAAAAATAGCTTACAATGGTTGCCAAAGTTGCTGGAAGATAATCAGCAAGCTCCTTCAGTCCTGAGATAAAGCATGTAACAAAGTTAACAAACCTTAACCAACTTTACAACTTTGTCACAGGAATCTCACAGTCCTGCTTTTCTATTAATCCATAAAGAGAGTTCAACAAACCTGTAGCCAGTTCACGGGGAGAAAGTCTTCCATGGGCACAAGCAGTAAGAGCAGCATCAAGCACAAATGGAGTTGCTTCGAGGATATCCCACGCTGGCACCTTGAGTCTAATAGAGGAGTCATCCGTTCCCGACGCAGATGAATTACTACTACCTGAAGTCGCAGGAGTCAAAGGCTGACTACTTCTATTTATTTTTCTAAACATCATGGTTAGGAGTGCATCAACAATCTGATGAACAGGAGTCCCAGGTACAAGCCCAGAGAGGGTGGAACAAATACATTTTTGATGCTGCTGGTACCAGAGTTTCAATTTTGGAAAGCGATCCATGGTAATGGTTTCGGAAGGGAAGGTTATAAATTTGGAAACTCTTCTGCTTTTGATTCGATCCATGGGAGAATTACCAAGGGATGCTAATCGAGAGTTTCGAAGCACCAATAGGTATTCTGGACCAACTTGGTTTCCCACAGTTGGCAAGTCCCCCATCATGTGATCAAGAGGTGGATGATCAAATCTCCATAACCTCAATAGAAGTGTAAAAGCATTTGCGAACACTGCATGGCATGAGAGTTCTTCCCCTGTTGTAGGGGTCCATGAGATATTGGGAACACTTGACCCAAAAACTTCGCAAATGGGCATCAACGCAGCTGCAAGTAGCGGAACCTAGATTTGAATGGCAAATAACATTAGTTGTAGTAAAAAATGACGGCTTCGAAAAAAAATTCATTCCATTACACAGAAGACCATTTGCTATCTTAACTATATCAATAAGGGCTCTGCACTGTTCTTTTCTTTAAATTCCATAATTCATTGATGGAATGGACCCCTTTAAGCATATCACCTGTTCCTTTTCACTCCAAATTATTAGGAAATTACTAACTCTATCAGCACTAGGCCATATTCAAACTAAGGCCCGCCCAACACCCACCTGCCCCTTGAATTCTGCAGGCAAGATCTAGAATAATATCTTGTGAGTTGATTGTCAGTTTTGAAAGTTTAAGAGTCTTGAATCTTGCTTCAGGTGCTACAAATTCTAGCCACATTATGAAATTAATATTATAACGTACTATAAATGCCTTTCTACAACCTACTTTTTATAGATTTGGAAATATAATAATTCAAAAGGTTCTTTGGCCCTTTTCTTGTCCACAATATATGGATGATAATTTAGTGTATATGAGGACTTGTATTATGTGAGGATAGTGTCTTCTTAAATTTAGCACCGGAAAATATTTGATCTTAACGCCACAATAACATACAGATATCAGGCAGGAAATGTTTTTGGAAATTTAACATACCAATCCAAGTAAGGAGAAAATCTGTACAGTATCTATAGATGATACCCCAACCAGAAGAACATTAAAGAATGAAGCATAGCTGATCAAATGGCTATCGCTCCCTGAGTAATCTGCAGGAACCGGAGGCGACAGCAAATTTATAATGAAAAGACAGATGTGCTCCTGCAAACAACAAATTACTATATAAGACCAACATTCAGGGAGAGTAGAGGCAATCAGAGGGAGGGAGGGAGGGAGGGGAAAGACTCTACCTGTATATTCCATCCACGAATAAGAGAAGCCCCACAAAGGATGGTAACAGCAGATATCTTCTCCTCATCTGAACCATTGACTGCAATCTCATATAATTTCTCGATCTCTGCTAAGCTTCCATCAAATCCATAGCTTAAATTCAGTTGCCATACCACTGGGTAAATTTACAAAAAAGAGCATCTGATATACCTGGCTTCAGGAAAAAGAAGGGTGTAACTGAAGACCAGGTCATTACGTCATGAAAAATTAGGATACTTTAGTTATTATTTGGTACGTACAGTTATGAGCTAAACAGTGATACAAACTCAAAACCATTGACCCTTAATAAATGAATCCAGCATAGGACTCATGTTTATACAGTGTTACTCGCTTTCCCTCAGAACCGGGACTGTTTAACATCCATCTAGGTCAACTAATGTACCATAGCATTATCAGGCAAATGCTTATGGAATAAAAGGTTTCTGGAATTTCTAGTATGGGTTGTACTCTTCTATATCTTTCAATAGAAATTTCTAACTACTAGTAGAGCCGGACCATTTACTGAAATTTCAAGATTGAGTCGACCAATGTTCAGTATATCTCATTCTAGCTTGTTGCAAACATGCATGCACGCACGCCTGGTCATCACCACCCCCTTCCCTTTGGAGTTGAGAAAAATATATATATGCACACACACACACACGTTGTAGTAAAACAATTAGCAGCATACCTAGAAGCAGGAGTGGCAACCAAAGCATTAACCAATGATGGAGTTAGAGGTGACCCCTTCATTATCGAAGACCAACCAGGCACTTGCCCAGGCACTTGCCCAGGCATATTACGTAGTACTTGGCTGTTACGTGCACTCACATAGCCTGGCCAGAAATATGCTGATGTGTCGAGGAGATTCCGAGCAATACAAGCCTCAACAATCAGATGCCGTAAGTTTCCCACTGTAAGTGCAAAAGGAAAAATCAATTGATCTATAAAAAAGAATTAAAGAAACATCAACAAATGAAAGGTCTTAACACATGAAGACTCAAATCCGAAGCTATGTTATACCCTCCCAATCTAAAAATCCATCATAAATCAAATTGCAAATCTGAAGGAAAAATTAATTGCTTACTGCAATTTATTGGCACGTCATTCACACTAACAGATTCATAGTATCCATTACTGACTGTAAGGCCTGATCTGTACATTATAGCCTTGGCTGCAGCTTGATTGACCACCGAACAAACAGACTGAGGTGGAGTCAATAAGGACTCATAATCACCCAACCGCTGTAAGCACATAATTAAACCCTCGCGACGCTTTCCTGGAGCTTGTTCCTTTCTTTGGTTAGTACGATCCCCTTCGATTTCCTCCATCAGCTGAGCTTCCTCTTCTTCAATAATATTAGTCACTGCAAGTGTCGTAATAGACAACAACATGCATAAGCAGGTATCAAGACGAGGGACAGGTCCTTCTCTGGGATCCCTTTCCTATAAAACAAGGGAAAAGGTCATAATAGGTCAATCTGGTTAACAACTGAAACAGAGCATATAAAGCTTAAGAATAAAGCTTGCTAAGATCTAATCACCAGCAATTCCTTCATTCAATTAAGCTGGTTATTTAGAGACACCCATATATTATATACAGGACATATCTGAACATACATCAATTGAGCCTTTCATGTTTCAACATTTTACTTCTGATTCATCACACATAGCAGCTACTTCAACCCCATCCCATATTCCAAATTTCTAGTATCTCCATGAAACAAGTAGATTATTTGGATTATGATCAATATTTTCAAATCCCCACCCCCAAAAACAAAACAAAAGGAGCTTATCTAGTGTTTTTAAATCGCTCAAAGCAGAGCCAAAATAACTACCATTTTTTTAATTCCAAGCTACAGAATTGCAAACCACATGGGTTAGACTCCAGATGAGCCAAGCCCTTGGATGCTCTAACGTGTTTACGTAAATAAGGGTTTGATGTCAGCTTGAGGTAACCTGATGAGCCTTCTCAAAACTTGAAATCAAACTTTTTTGATGCATCATATCAGTTCGTACACATATATCACATATGCATAAATATTGTGGTGGGTGTTTAGGGAGTGATCCAGGCAAACATTGGCATTTGAAAACCTTATCCAGTAAAAACTTATATCTCTAGATATGCCTCTCTATTTGCAAAACTGAAGTGTGTGTGTGTGTGTGTGTGCACGCGCACGAGCTTTAGGTATAAACATGAATTAGTCTGAAAAGCATTGTGTATCATCCTTTCCAGCACACAACAAGACATCAATCGATCTTTAAAGATATATATTTCTAAACTAGTGGCATCAATTCTTACTCTCTGAACAAGTCGAAGGGCTGCAATCCATAAACCTAAAAATGCATTGTGCCATGTGGTGCTATTAACTGCCTGCAGAGCCTTTACTAAACCTGCAACATTAACTCAGATCAACATCTCTGACTAAAAGAACTAGAATCTTATCAGCTTGCAAGACAGAAGATTACTGTAAAAGAATTGGTCGCACCAGTAAGGGTTTCAACGGCACTAATTATTGCTACTTCTGATCCATCCATAGCATCTTCCAGAAACAGATCAATGGGAAGCCAAAAAGCAGATGAACTCACTCCGTGAGATTGACTAGCAGAAGACCTCAGAGACCCAGAAGACAATACTGCATGAAAATCTTGCCGTGAAATGATTTTGCATTCCCGAGTCAGAAGTCGACGTGTATCAGATGTCAACTGCAGAAGGGACTCTGGAGTTATATGTTTCAAAGTCCTCAAAACTGATGAGTTTGCTGCAAGCACTTGCATTTTCTGAATGAAACCTCCCCAATGTGATGGCCTAAAAAGAAGAAGGATGACATATTTGGCATCTTCATTCAATAATACTTTTCAAAACTCTAACATGAGATTTTAAACTAGTCAAACTACAATACACCCATGCTTACTAAAACTGCTGTTTTCCCACTTCTCCCTCACAAACACGACATGATTAACATTAAGATGCACACAAAGAAAAAAAAAAGTAAATGAATATAAACAAAATTAGGTCCTTACAAATTTCGGCGTGTCAGGCACAAAATCCTTGAAGTTACTTTGTTTTGCAGAAACTCTACAATTATCTCAATAGCCATTGCAGTATTTGCTTTCTGCAAGCCTTCATTTTGCTCACTTCTCTTCTCATTAAAGCAATCATGACCATCTATTTCCATATCTTCTGGCCTGGTAAACCATCTAGACTTCTTATCTGGGGTAAGTTCCAGCAAACCTTCATCATCTAATGATGCATCAAGTAACTGCCACATGATCGAAAAGACAAACTCAACAACAACAACTCCAGGTTCACCCACTTGAAGGCCATACAGCAGGGAAAGATGCAGAACATCATCAATGGATTTTATGATCCTGTAATTGCATCAAAACATAAGTTAAAAATTATTGTGAGCATAAAACAGCAAATTATCTACTGACAGAAAAAAAAAAAAAAAATTAAAAAAAAAGGAGGAAATAAATTACTATATATGCATTATTGTACGACAAAAAAGAGAAAAACTGAACCTTACTTTTGACAATTTGGTCCATTCAATTGTGAAGCAAATAAAAATGTATGTCTCTTAAGAAGTTCCATGTAAAGTCTATATGCTGTAGGGTGAAGTTGCCGATTTGGAACAACCCTGTATTAAACAACAAAAGCATTAAATGCAAATTTTAACCAATAAAAATAAGCATATGTATAACAATAGTTGATAATGGAACATCAAAAGTGTAGAAAACAGGAAAAAAAAAAAAAAAAGCGGACCCAATCTATAGTGTAAGACAGAATATAGTAAGTGCAAATGTTGAAGACGAGATATTTAAGGTATAAGATCCATCACACTAGATAGCACATACTTGAATTACAATATCTTTTCAAACCACCGTCCGAGATATAATGAAGCATATTCAATGGGAAATTACCGACTATTACAAGTAACTCAGGCATTTCGCACGAAGCCATCCCTAAATATTACCATATAGTTAAGTTGGATTAACTAATTTGCCTAATTTATGTATGTAATGTACCTAACCACAGTACGACAAATATTAGAACCATTCAAAAGAGAAGAACCGCACTGTAGGATTTCGGTAACTAATCAGATATTTCATCTACTATAAAACCTTTGAACCCTATAAACAATCAACTTCAATACACTATCAAAATCACTAAACAATATAAATAGTTACTTTAACATAATAATGATGATTAGAAATAAGAAAATGACAGTAAAAGCACGATTTGTGAGGGAGTGAGGGGTGAGTACTTGGTAGAGAGCAGAGCAAGAACAAGCATGGGAGGGACGATCTTGACGGTCAAGGCCTTCTCGAGGAACTTCCACGTGATGGGCACGTGATTGGCCCAGCAGATGTGGGAGACGAGGAGGTGCGCGAGCTCGACGGAGGGCAAGGCCACGCCGGCCGAGTTTAGGGCGGTGCTGCGTCGAACAGCCGCGGGGGTCGCTGTTCTTGTCCTGAGCGGACTTGGTGAGCTGGAGCACCGTGTCCCATAGATGGCTCAGCGGTTGCTGTACGGACACCGCCATCATCGACTTCTAGATTTCGATTGGAGAGGAATTAGGGTTCATTACAGGGAGAGAATCCGAGCCTTTTTCTTTTGTTCTCCTTTGCTCCTTGGATTCTGAATTGTGTAATAGTGTTTGGAGACTCAACTGAGAGGAAAAGCTTAAAAGTCAGTTCAGGAGGCGGGTATATGTTCACCGTTGACTTGACTGGCAAAAGATATCAAATACGTGTCTTTCTGAAATGTGAAGAGGCAGGGTTTATGTTGTGTCTCATATATCTATTTTTTGATTGAATTTGGATGGGAAATGCTAGCTAACTACCCTTTTGTTGTAGGTTTCCTTTCTATTTTCTCTCACTTATTCTCGTCCTGCAATGTGGTTTGGTGATCGTAGCTGTCTTATTTATCCTTTTAGATCAACATTTAATAATTATTTTTGACAAAATGAACTAAATCAATAGAATGTTTATTAAACACTAAATTAGGTCAATATTTATCCTTTTAGATCAACATTTAATAATTATTTTTGACAAAATGAACTAAATAAATAGAATGTTTATTAAACACTAAATTAGCACACTATTGACCAATGGTTAAACAATTTCCGATTTGAGTGATTTTTGTGGTTAAATGATCTCGAAAATGAAAGGTCGGGAACACCAACAACATAGAAAAATATGAAGGAAAAAAGGAAACATACAAATGGAATGGATCTAGCAATTCCCAATTTGGATTTGATTTTGCATACAAGGGAAAATTGAAAATGGAGATCATCGCATATTGAATCTTAATTCATTGGCCCCCAAAAAACATTATGATTGGTTGAACAGTAGTCCTCTGATTTTTTTTCTTTTTTGGGTTAACTTTTTTCGGAATAGAGTTTACATTTGCTTTGGTATTACTATTACCTTAGGATGCTACAAGCCCACAAGTGGTTGCTAATCCGACAGCTGAAGATGGGAAGTGGTTGCTAATCCGACAGCTGAAGATGGGCCAGTTGGGCGGTAAATAGTGACAGAGGCCCAACCCTCCTTTATCGGTTTATACGTATAAAACAAAAAGTAGTTCTACCTTTAGAGAAATTTATACGTATACCCACCTTGTAAATTACTAACTCACCCTCGTAACCTTTAAGCATCTCATCACGTGCACCACACCACAGAGCAGAAGCTCCGTACTCTGTAGGGAATCACACAGATAAAATCTACCCCAAAACCCAAGCAGCAAAATCATGTCATGAAATTATATCCATAGATTTGAAATCTAAATGCAAATGCAAATCCTCTCTCCCAAACCAAACGGGGCCTTAGAGAATTTGCATCATTTCACCATCCGAGACCGATGACGAAAAAGGAGGCATGAACAAACTTATATAACATTAAGGCATGACCCCTAACAAGATTCCTACTACATATGTGCGATGGTACCCTTGCTCAGAATCTCCAACAGCTTCAGACTTGTAATTCCTACATGTGATGTTTCTGTCAATCCTGCGGTATGTGAACGAAAATTGCAATAACTTTACTTCAAGTGAGAATCTAATGCTGAGGTTGCATTGCTTGCACTGAATCCAGGCACCAACATTTGTAGTTTGGTTTCGACATTTCATAAAGCTCATCGAGCGTCATCTTCTCAAGTTTGTCGGTTTCCCAAGAATCAAAACTCCCAGGGATGTCTTTTGCACACAGCATAGCAAGTGAAGCCACATTGCCTTCTTTCTGATGATCTAGCGCACAGAACCTTTTGTAGAGTCTCATAGCAGACACACAATCTTCATATGGATCATGAAAACCTGACTGGATATCATACCTGTAAAACCAAAGCCTCATGACACTAAATATTCAATGGAGCACTTAAAACTAGAGCCTGCTTCTACAAGCAAATAAAGACTAAAAAGTAAAAATCTGAGAAGAAGAATAACTTGCCCTAGATATGTTCTGGTGAGGTACTTGAGCGGGTGGCTAACCAGATTTGTTTTCATCAGAGGATGGTAGTTTGCAGTATCCCTGCATATAAAATAAGTAACCATCAAGCTTCTAGAGAGGCAACAGAGAACAGGCTTCTTTGCTCAATCTATGTCAAATAGATGCCATATTAAAGCTGGTCCTTCATGCAAAATTTCATCATGACTAAGGCCATAATCTTGACTGGCCTGAATGAAAAGAAGTACAGCCATAAACGCAATTGTCCAAGAAACAGTGACACCATCTATCTTACATATGCACAAAGCAGCCCAAACACTATGGCCTATATAATAAAAAAGGGATTGAAGAGAAGAATAGGAGTGCATATGAGAACCAGAGCATAGCATGACTATAGAAACACTGTGCTCATGATTCACATATCTCAAGAAGAGGATTACAGAAGAAAACAGAAACTCTTATTTATACCTCAGCAGGTAATCAGGATAGTTTATTCTCAAGCAATCCAAATCATTCTCTAAACTATGCCCCACAAGAAGCTTGGTCTTTCCATTATACAAAATTTGCAAAACCTTATCTTGCACTTTTTGGAGTGGCATGCCATCTCTGAGATGCTCTTCTGTTAACCCAGTAACTTCATATCTGGAATGGAAACATTGTCAACACTTGGGAATGATCAGAGGCCTATTCGCAAAATTCTTGTAAGAAATCAAAGATGAGAAACATAACACACTAGTACCTGTAATTAACGACAGGATATTGGGGCTGCACATAAGTGTGGAAGAGGATAGTCTCGTCTTCATCAATCAGGCACACCCTTGCACACAGGTCCAGTGATCCATCACTTCCACCAGCAACCATTTCACAATCCAGAGCAATTGCTTCTGTACCATCCCCAATGTGATATTCGTTGCTGGAGTTTATATCATGTTTAAATTCTGCACATCGCTCCATCATTGTTACCTGCAACACTTGACTGAAAATATAAGTAATGTATGTGCATATCTTATATACGGTTGCAGCTAAGAGTATCTTTAATGGGTAAAAAGGGTAAAATATTCAGAATACTGGAAGCTGACAAGTTTCCCAATTCCGTACAGGACGCTTGATGTTCAAGTAATCAACTTACCAGAGGAACAGGTGCAGATAGGCGACACATATATTTATGCGCGCTCAGAGAATTAGGGCTATCAAAAATCTTCAAACATAGATCACAACCTTGTTCAGAGAAAACCCTCTTGCAATTTTCTTTTGCCAGTGGTCCTTAATCATAGCAACCAGGGAAAGGATATCAAACAACAAGCAATCTTATAGATGAATCAAAATGACTATGGAATGATCTGATCAATTACAATGCAACACGGAATTACATCTCACCAGTGACATGCTCCCTCTGTGATTCAAAAGATTTGAAGTGCTTTTTACACACTCCACATCTAGGCTGATGAACTGAATGGAACGAGACATTAATGTGCTCGACAAGATGTTCCTTTTTCTTATACTGCTTGTAGCATGCAGCACATTTGTACCTGCAAAGCCCACAGGTCAAGAATCTTTTCAAAATATTCAACAGCAAAAAAATCACATATCACATTGTATATATACCTAATAGCACAGTTTGTCAACTAGTTTTGCAATTGTTCTTAAATATTCAAGTTCAGATACATTACTATAGCAGGACAATTGGGATTAATTAAGTGAATTGATCCCCAAGGAAGATTTGTTTCCACAATCAAAGGAAATTTATTTCCAAATCAAGAAAAACACTTCGATAAAACTAGAATCAAACAATGCGTGATAAACCTTGTCAAATTTTGCAATGCACCTCAATCAGCTTATCAGATAAGTTCATAAATAAGCCACCCAAACAAAATCTATATTCAATTTCTCAGCAAACATGCAAGTCCTTGTGGAAATGTGGAAATAAAAGCCATAAACCTCACAAATTGCAGAAGATGTGTGTGTGTGTGTGTGTGAGAGAGACAGAGAGATGGAACCTTGTGTTTGTGGTTTTTGGAAATTCTGGTTCGAAGTCCATGGAGCCCAGAGCTGCTTTCAACAACGCCGTCGACGAGGCTTCAAAATTGGCGGGAAAACAGCAGTACGAGAAATGTGCACAAAATGGAGGTGAGCCCAAATGGGCGATATTTTTTCTGACTTCTATCACAGAGAGTCAGAGAATTAGGGTTTTTCGAGTTTTTTGTTGATAGGGTTTTTCAAGTAATTGTACCATTAATTTATCCATGCGACAGTCACACCGCATTAACATGTTGTCATATTTTACGTGTCGCTTATTACATGTTTGACGTGTTGTTTATTACGTGTTATAATTTAAATGAATTGTTTGATTTCACTTTTCACTCATTGAGTCAATGTTGTTTGTAAGAAGAAAAAGGGCCAGAACAAACATAGTCTTTGAGTTCCCTTACCTTTGATATCGACTGTATAAATATATAGTACACTTAAATCAAGCACTCATTTTTTCCCAAACTAAAATCAAGCATTCCCTTAAGTTTAATAGATAATTTTCATCTTAAACAATTTTTTTCTTATCATAATTGATTATATTTGGCAAGAAATCACTCTTATATATACGAATCTTTTTATAAATATTATGTTATGAGTAATTTCTCTTCATATATAGTGAATCAAAATCATTAATAAAGTAATATAAATATCCATAAATTATGTGGTAGCACTTTTAAGAGAAAACCTAATTGGAATTTCTTTTATCCCCGAACATTTCCATCATTTATTGCTCTACAACTCTAGGGTTCGGCTATTATCTGCGATTTTAAATTGATGTTTTATCTAAAACACACGGTGCATATTGATTTTGAAGAAGGAAATCATAAATAATCATCAAATTTGATGAACATAAAATTACTAATTGCATGAAGCCACACAAACGAGAAACGAATAAACACCAGTCTTTAACATAGAATTAAATGATTATGAGACGATAAATGTTTAAAACATAATGTCAGAAAGTTCATGTTTGAGCCAAAACAAGGAAATTAAGAACTGATCCGAACATGAAAGCAAAACCCATGTACATATAAATTAACCTAGCAACAATTTAAAAAATATATGGGCTAGGCATGTTCAATCAACAATATATGACCAGCCTACATGGGGTACCGATAGTTGTCCGCATAATTAGTGTAGTGGACAATAGGGTTAACTTTGGGTGGCGATCTTGACTGAAAATATGAATAAGGTGGTGGCTGAATTTGTGCGTAGTAATCATATGGTGGCGGTGACGGTCTATGATACTCCATTGATTGATAATATGGGTTTGGTGACCGGTATCCGAGCCCGGGCATCCCATGAAAACTCCTATGGGCCGGAATGCCCATAGATGGCCGCATAGGCGGCCGATGCTGAGGAGGCATAGGTATGCCCATGCCCATTCCCATGCCAGAAAATCCCTTCCCATTCTTCTTCTTCTTGTCATTTTTGGCCCAAGTGAGAACTCCATGTTGCTTCTTGGGTGCAATACTGCGTTTGCTTTCATCATCCGAACTGCTTTCAGCCTCATCGCCATCACAAGAGCAATCTTCGCCAATTTGGATGTTGTAATTAGTAGACGCACCAATATTAACATTGTTTTTGTAGGGTTCTTTCTGGAAGGACCAAAGTTCTGCCTTTTTGTCCATGTTTTTGACTATATTTGTGAGAACCATAGGGTCTATGTCACCTGAAACTTTTAATAATCCTTGTTCTGGATCTATGTTTATGTCCTCCACTCCTATAAAATTAAAATTAAAAATAAAAAAATTTATAAACTAAATAAACGAGCCAGATGCATGATGAAATCATGAACGGAAAACAATATATTTACCATTGAGTTTCTGCAACTTTTCCTTCAATTTGATTGGACACTTTGCACAACAATAGAGATTCATTTTTATAGTACAAATCTGCAGAAAACATAAATTTGAAATAGTCGGGAATAATATGATTTGACCAAAATGCAACTCGAGAACAAATTCAGGAACCATTTAAGTCAACAGCGTTAGAGTAATATATGTTTACATATGCACCAAATACAATAGAAATAAAAGAAAAATACATACCGGAACGGGTGCACGATGTTGCTCCATCAGAATTGCTTCAGATCTTTGTATAGTATAATAGAAATAGAAGAAGAGGTATCAGACTAATGGGTTTTGTAGAAATTAAAAATGAATTTTCAAGATGAATATGTTTTGGATAGGTAAGAAATATATATAGAGAATGTGAAGGATTTATGGGCACTAATTATTAATTGGCTAAAACGCAATTAACGGCTTTGAGTGATTTGTTTTGGTTTCAAGAGATACTTAAGTGGGAAGAAAGCTCAAAATCCTGAATTTAATTAAAAGTGAGAGATACTAAATTTCACTTAAGTGGTGAAGATTGAAGAATTAGAATTCAGCCACAACAAAAAAAATTCCTAAAAAATGAATCCTTTTTACAGGAAATAATATTAGGTACAAACTAGCTAAAAATGTAATTAAACCAATTATTGTCCTCAACTGCAAAGGACCAGACAAATGGGCAGAAGTTTTCGGATAAGACAAATGATCCTGAGGCAAATTCGTGAATATTGCAAAATATATAATGTCGTTTGTACCCCTCTGAAATTGGCATATGAAATTGGATCTTGGTCACAAGTTGCAACTTACAAGATTGATGAAAAGTAACACTTGGCATATAATTTCTTATGTGTAAATAAATATCTCAAATTACAATCTTCTCCCAACTTCAACAATGCACTGTTAGCATTCCCTGCATGATAGTATATGTCACAACTTTTTTTTTCTTTCATTCAAGCGATATGAGATGAGAGGGTTTTTTTCACACACAATCGAAAATGTCATGGAGATTTAAATTTAAACCACGACTTTACAAGTCAATGTCATTTCTCAGTGACGTTGGCAATCTCACAACCTTATTGTTAATTGTTATAGAACCTTATGATTGGCATTATAAATGGAGCTTCATGATTATAAATTGCCATAAATTTTTCTTAGTTTGGGCATCCACGAGACTTATTTTATATTTATATGCAAATATTCCCCCCACCACAAATAGTCCCTTATTTTTGCTTATGAATGACATGTGCCAAACAAGGCGCTTTTAGCACTATAAATTGAGAAAGGAAAAATAAATAAAAGTGTTTAAGAAGCTTAATTACAATAGCAACCCAATTAATTAAGGTATTCTAATGGCAGATTATGGTTAGTCTACTGACATTTTCCATTTTTTTGAGTCTTTTGATTTTGCTCTGGTTGGTGGTGGTACTTAGAATATTCTAATCCCATGTTTGACAATAGTTGTTGTTGGATTGGGACCATAGTTTGATTGGAACCAAAAGAATAAAGCGGATAAGACAAATGGTGGGGCCAACGCACGACACTCAGGCACTTGTTGCGTGAGGCTTCTCGCAAACGGAGTAAAATCAAGATCTACATTCTTATTGGCTGCCGGCTTTTTACCTGTCCATTCGCAAACCAGGCTTCTCTTTTACCTTCGTATATCAAACAAAGAGTCTCTTTTGCTATCCCAATGTTGGCGATTGAAAAGTTAAAAAGCCAGCCTGAATAACCTTACTCTTCTCTTTGGCCTTTCTACCCCTCATTGTTTTTCATTTTTTACCAATTCCTCCAGCAAATGAGCTCTCCAGTCCTCCCTCATGAGACGACGAAAGGGTAAATCTTGCTACAGTAAAACTTAAAGAGGAATACATGGGTTGTTCTTGAGGGGTAAAAAGGGTAATTAAAATTTTAATACTATTTAATGCTCAACAGTGGGACAAGTCTGTGGCAAGAGTGTGCAGCAAGTCGCTTTTGGTTGATTCAGAATAGAAAGCTCTGATTTGAAAAGCCGCGAGCTAAAGCTATCACCGCCATGGACGACGAAGAGAACCAAGCTCCACAGCTGGAGAACCAGGCTCCACAGCCGGAGAACCAGGCTCATCCACGGCGAGAGAATCCGTCGAGACTCATCCTTCAGGCAACCGACTTCATAAGCGTGAAACAGAACACTAAATGGCGTACGTTTCTCTCTCTCTCTCTCTCTCTCTCTCTCACACACACACACACACACACGCACACACACACACAAGCACACAATGTGTTGGTAGGGCAAGGTTTTAAAATGTTGCCTAGGCTCGCCTTAAGGCGAGGCGTTCGTAAATCGCATATTGTTTAGCCAAATGTGCGGAGAGGTTGAGGCCCTGCCGGGTGAAGCGCAACTTCAGCGAAGAAGACGATGTGCTTCCCGACCTAATTTCATACTAAGTTTTCAATTGAAATGAATAGTTTCATTTACAAATAGTCTTTGCGTTTTATCCTTTAGATCTCATGATTCGACTCTTTCTTCTTCCCCCAAACCCCACCCACCCTGAAACCTTTCATCTTCTCAAGCAAATCCCAACTTCAATCTCAGTTTTTTTCCTCTTTAAAATTCCAAATAATACTAACTAAATATGTGCATTTGATCCAAAAGCATGCGCTCTTTCTTTATTACTATTTTTGTTTGTTTGTTTATGTTTTCCTTCCAGCCACCAAATATGTGCATTTGAGCCAAAAGCTCTGTTGATGTTCTCTCTCTGCATATAAACCCAATACGTAGTGAATTGTTTGTTTTTGTAATGAATATTTTATCACTTGATAAATATTGATTTGCTGGAATTGATTATTACATTTTAAATGGAAATTAATATTAATATTTAACTATTTGTCTATTCTTTTTAAAAGAAAATGTGCCTGTTTGATGGGGGCGGTGGGAGGTTGGGCATAGGGAGGTGCCGAGAGAGGAGAAAGGGATCTTGTTTGTTCTTTTCTGTTTCTTCTTATGTGAGATGTAAACATTAATTTTATTGTAGGCTAATAGTTGACCCATGGAACTGATGTTATTCTATTAACTTTTTTACTTGATTTTTACATGAAATTCCATTCTTACGTTACGTCTGTTTTTGTGTGCTCTGTTTTTGTGTGGTGCGACTGTCTTTTCAGAGGTTTACGTACTGCATGAGAGCTATACAGGGAGCACTTCTAGTTGCATCTGTTTTTCAGATTCTTATTGCAGTGTTCCTTATGCCGACTTTTGGGAGGTATGTTGTGACAATAAATGCAATTCTATGTTGTATGGTAAACCGATACGATACAATAATACGATAAATTTCTAAAAACTAAGATACATGTACAAGAAGAATACAGCAACTAAAATAAACATTTCATTAATTTTTAAAAATATTATTACATCAACATATTAGTTATATTAGTTAAATATTCACGTACAAAAAAAAAAATTTGTCCACCTTTCACTAAATGGAGGCCAACAACATTATGTAACATAGAATATTGGTCGTACCCATCTCGTATCCTAGCTGTATTACAGCCACCGTCGTGTGGTCAGCATCTTAAGAACGTTAACGATACAATCCAGTTGTCATATTATGTAGGTATTGTGTCGTATCGGGTGGTATTGTATCGATATCCGTATCGAATACGAGCACACCTTCCATGACATGTGTATTAGTCAAAGTAGATGTCATTTATTTTAAAAAATAACTTGATATTAATGTTGATATGCAGACTTCTGAGCCCTCTCACCACTATACCTCTAGTGACCCTAGTTGGACTTGGCATGTTTGTTTATGGGTTCCCTCAGGTAATGAAGTTGAACCCTTTTTTACTTCTTAACAATTTTTTCTGCAACTTCTTTTTACCTTTGTATTTAACGGATAACGTTTTCTTTTGCTAATTAATGGTGCAGCTGGGCACGTGTGCTGTAGTCGGAGTGCCAACATTGTTGGTGCTGTTTTTCATATCACAGGTAGGTAGCATGTTAACCACCCTTTTCTTGCATTGAACTTGAATTGCTAATTTAGTAATTGTATTGTGTTGTAGTGTCTCCCGCACATTGTCTCGATATCTAGAGAGGAACCGTTTAACAGATTTAGGTTTCTTCGATACTGGAGGTTGAACCCAAATCAAATTCAGCGATATGCACTGCTGTTTTTAGTACCCTTTGCATGGCCATTTGCAGCAGTTTTGTCTGTTGCATATGGTCATACTCATAGCATTTGCCGGGTTCATCTGTCTGGACTTTTCAGCGGTGCTCATGGGTAAACTCTAGCTCGAGCTTATGTACTCTACCTCTTGTTGTTGGTTGTGGAAGTAGTATGTTTTAACAATTGTCTTTCACTAAATACAGGCTATGGATTCCAAATCCATTTCAATGGGGTTCTCCCACTCTTGATGTTGGAGATGCAGTTGCAATGATGATGGCTGTTTTTGTTGCCACATTTGAGGTAAGATAGTCTTATAGTAATGTTATTTAAGACCCCAAATCTGACATACTTTTTTTAAGAGTAACAGTTGCACTGACATACATTTCCCCCTGTCATTTTGGGGAGCAGTCTACAGGGACTTTTCTTATGGCCTCGAGGTACGGGTTGGCCACCCCTCCCCCACCTTTCGTTCTTAGACGAGGAGCTATATGCCAGGTGGGTATCAAATATTTATACGCATCCATCGTTATTATTCTTGTTTCGTGTATTTTATTGGGATCATAGTTTAAAGAATAGAAAAGTAGTTTAAAATATACAAATTTATAAATAAACCCAATTCTAGACATGTATTTATAAAAAAATTCAAACACTATTTAAACATAGAAACACACCCAAAATCAACCCCAAAGTCAACAATTGTATATTTTTTGGGTGTGTTTATAAATGGGTTTTGAGTGTGTGTAATGATGGATTTTGGGTGTGTTTATAAAGTGTTTAGAGTGTTGGATTTTTTTATAATTTCAGCTCCCATTTTGGGTGTTTTAGTGAAACTCCCTTTAAAATAAGCATTAACGATTTCCACCTTAGCATAAGATTGCATCCTTTTATAGACGTGAGTTCCATATAATAGCAATTTTATTTTTGAATGGATGAGCCTCACAAAGCTTGTCTAGAAATAAAATAAAATTACAATTGGGAGGCTTTACATTTTAAAATTTTCAAAAATGCGAGAAAATCTAGATGCTTTTTAAATGGATTTGTAGAGAATAGTCTATCTATTTATTGTAACTTTTAAAACATACACTCTATTCGCCCTCTGTAATTTTTAGTTTCAGATTTTTCCAAGTAATCATTACTCTGCCTTTCATTTTCAACGTATCATAAGCAAAAACCTCATGTGGAAGTTTCTAAAATACTAACTTAGTTTGTAATTCTTTCAGGGAATAGGCACGTTACTGGGTGGAGTTTTTGGAGTAGGGACTGGCTCTACAGCACTAGTGTAATAATTTAACTTTTATAGTTTTTATATATTTTATTGTGATCTCAAATCCTTTTTATTAGTGCCCAATTGTTGCTTAATTGGTGGTAATCTTGTTTAGGTGTAGTTCTTGTCTCTAATTTTGTTTTTGCTTTTTAAATCATGGTTGCCAATGTGATTGATATTCTGTTTTTTTAGTGAAAATGCGGGGCTATTAGGATTGACTCGGTACGGAAGCAGGCGAGCCGTACAAATTGCAGCTGCCATTATGATTTTATTCTCTATATTAGGTATGAAGTTTAAATTTTAAATGTTTGAAGGCAAGAGCTTTTCATGTTTATAGATAGTCACTAATTAAGTTCATCCTTCGCAGGAAAATTTGCAGCATTTCTTGCTTCCTTATCATTGCCACTTGTAGGAGCAGTGTATTGTCTGCTATACTCCTACGTGGGTATGTATTTTTTTTTATGTGTCTATCTCTTTGTGATTTATTTGTTATCTTAGTGTTTAATTGTATTTGTATTTTTTATGATAATTATGTAGCAGAACCGCCATAGTTTTGCTACATGATTGATATAATAACAGCCTGTTAACTCTAAACCCTAAATTGTTTGGGCGTGCAGTTTCTGGTGGTATGAGCTTCATCCAATTTTGCAACCCAAATAGCATTAGAGTTCACTTCATAGTAGGCTCTTCACTGTTTTTAGGCATTGCTGTGCCATCGTACTGGCATGAGTCTCTCCTGCCTTCTGGAGTAGGATCCTCATGGGTGAGTATTACTTATCTTTCATGTATTAGAGAAGTAAAATAACATGATTTTACATTATTATTCTTATTTTGATCATGTGCAGTGGAGCTGCACTATACAGGTATTTTGCTCATCTTCAGCATTAGGTGCAGCAGCTGCTATCGCCATGGATTACATCGTGACTCTGGGAGACCAGGCATTGCGTGTAGATAGTGGAAGAGATTGGTGGGCGCCTCTGAGGAACAACGCAGATAGTGATACGGCTTCGTTCTATGCCTTCCCTAAAAAGGTGGTGAATTTACTACCGTCCTTAAAATTGGAGGGTGAATGAGGGGGCTATTTATTATTCTTTGTATAGAAACCCCAAATCACAAACATTAGTCATTGTTTTAGCTCATATATAATTTTCTAAAGTTGCAAGGCAGGTCATATTTCTTATCATTTTGTATTAGTGGAAAGTTTAGTATTAACGATTACACACATATGTTATAATTTGGGTGATTGCACGTGGTTTTCGTTTCTAATTCTCTTTTTCTTCTTTTATATATATAACAAATAAATTATTCAGTCGAAAGCACTTGGAAATACGTAAGACAGTACGAGGAAAATCATGAGGCCAAGACTTGTGTTCCTACGCACGTTTTCCCAGCGACTGTTAATTTCTTTTGTTTTTGTTTTAATGTGGGATGGGCTTGTTTCGAGTGTTTTGGGGTTTTTTGAGTGAAACTTGGGCTACGCTTCAATTTGGGCTTTTTGCCTTGAAAAGGTGGTAGCAAAGTTGTAATTTAGTTTGGGTTTTTTTAATGAAACTTGGGCTGGGCTTCGGTTAATGGCAATGTTGTAATTTATAGTTGTGTTGAGTGTTGTTTTGTTTTCTAAAATGAGCTTTGGGATCTTCTAGAGGGTTCGGGTTTCACTATTCAAGCTCCCTTATTCTCAACTTAAGCCCACCAAGCAGCGAAAGGGTTTAAGATTCTCAAGAAGTAGCGGTTTCCTGGTGTGAAGCAAACCAAACCTTAGAAATTCTAAAAACATACCAACGGTCAAAACTCACAAGATTTAGGATAAACGAGACTGATGTAGTGAATTTTACTAAGAGCCAAGCTTATGTGATTGCAAATTAAAGATTTATAATTAAGCTGAATTTTCTTTCCTAGAAATAAATCTGTTTCTGATCACCAAAATAACATTGTTTTAAGAGAAGCTTATATAATTAATGGAAAGAATATCTAAAATTGGCATATATGAAATTGGATTTTGGTTCACTTTCCTCGGTTGCCGTTTATTCTTAAGCAACAAGAAAGGGAAGGGTTTAAGATTCCTAAGAAATAAGGGTTTCCTGGCGAAGCAAGGCTTAGAAAATCTCATAACTTACCGCAAAAAAAAGGTCAAAAGATTTTGAAAAAAGTAATATTGGCATATATTTTCTGATGTATAAATATCTCACAAATCACAATCTTCTCCCAACATTATTTACTTTCTCAAAGAACCCTAAGTTTCTTCTACGACTAGTCCGCAGTCTTTAATCTATTAGCTAGCAAGGGATTGTGGGACATGTCAAACGCAAAGTATATGTCTGTGGCAGTGAGGGAAAACTACGATGATCTTGATCCCAACAACACTGCTCTTGCCCTTATAGATGATAACGGCGATCTTATGTCTAACCCAAAGAAGAGTTCTACAATTTCATCATTGGAGAACCACCGTCTTCATCACGACACCCCTGTATGTATCAAGCTACTTCTTAATTATTAATTTTGCATTATATTATGATTGTATGTACCATATTATAGCACTGAATGGTATGGAATTAATATGTATGTTGTTGCAGATTACTTATCATGTCGTGAAGGTGAACCAATCTGACTCTAATGTGCGTAATAGAATAAAAAGAAAGTTGGAGGAAATTGAAGGTAAAAATTAATAAATAAACCTCTTTATTATGCAAGTAATTTGTACAACTGAGTAAGTATATATAACATTCGAATATGTGTGTTTGTGTGTGTGTGTGTAGGAGCACATTCCGTCTCAGCGAAGCTTTATGAAAGGGGAGGAAATAGGTATGGTGCCAAGATAACAGTTTGTGGCGATCATGTAGATCCAGTCACAATCATTCAGACAATACTTACGGATGCAGAGATTTTGTCCTACAAAATAGAAAAGAACCCTTGTGATGAAGCCTTTAACAACCATATTCAGAATGAAAGACCTGCCGAGGACTTGAAAATTCTCTATTCTAAGGTAAGAAATTAACTAAGACCCTAGCAGCAAATAACCATTTCAAAATCTACATGCACTAATATATACCGTGTTATATCTTGATTGCCTTGTTGCAGATCCCTTATGTTGTGAAGGTCGTTAACCTGTGTTGTTCGGAACGCCTTAACAGAATAAAGAGAGAGTTGAACAAAACTGACGGTACAAATTATTCAAAAACTTTATAAATATAATATATATACACACACACACACACCCCTATACCCATAACTCTCAACTATATATTGGTAAGTACGGGTTTGATTATATGAGTTTTTCAAATTTTGGGTTTGCATACATGTAGGAATAAATTGCGTGACAGTAGATCATGATCATTGGAGGATAGCAGTTTCTGGTGATCATGTAGATCCAGCCACACTGGTAAAGACAATAGAAAAGTATGCACAGATTAAGCCCCACAGAAATGCCAAGGACAAACCTGTTGCTGCAGCAGCACAAGGATTCAAAAACAACAAAAACTTCCAGTTTGAGGTAATTAAGAAATCAACCAAGAAAAACTCTAGCTTACATACATCGTATATCGTATTACTCCTCATTTTCATTTTATTTTTCATAATAACCATGCATTGATGCGTCTATATACATGCTTCCTGCAGACTTGTGTTGTGAAGGTTCCAAGTCATTGGATTGCTTATTATTTTGAGGCGATACAGAAAAATTTGTTGCAGGAAATAAATGGTACAAATAAACTCTTTCATAATTATTAATTAATAATAGTGCTGCATATATATATATGGAGGTTCCGTTTGATATTAATATAGTTTTTTACTTTTCTTGTAGGAATAAAATCCATCACCATTAATGCATGCAACCGCAAGATAGCAGTTTGTGGTGATATTGTAGACCCAGCCATAGTCATAGAGACAATATCAAGGGTTTGTAAGGCACGTCGTACAGAGCTTGTGTCCTACGACAAGAAGAATTCAAATCCTGCTGCAAATCATCTTGCACAAGGTCGAACGATCAAGAATAATGATCACTTCATTCAAAACGACACAAAATTATCCCCTAATTATAACAAGGTAATTAAGATTGCAATTTCCGGCTAAGCATCACCATTATAATCCTGCATTCTTAATTATTCCCTGATTATGTATAACTAATGATTTGATTAATTTCAATCGAACTCAAAGGATGCTATTGTTCCTGCGTTGATGGAGAACCGCAGTACTACTGAGGTTGCTCTTCCATTGATGAAGAAGAACCGCCGTTTTGATGGTCCGGTGGTATGTCTTGCTACGGCCTCTTCATTTTATGACTAAATTTAATTATATTATAATTAAGTAATACATTTTCTTGCATTGCAGACTTGTGTTTTGAAGGTACATTGTCCAGGTTGTCTTGACGAAATAACGGAAACATTGCACAAAATAAAAGGTTTGTGCATTGCAAATGAAACTCTTTTTTAATTGTGTAAATGTTGCATGCGAGTTTATATTACTCATCAAAACTCTTCTTAATTAGTACTTATTGTTTTATTCAATACTCATATTCGTGTATTTATTTTCTATCTTTTGGGTTGTAGGAGTAGATTTCATCTTCAGCTTCTCAAAATATGGACCTCATGAATGGGAAGTAAAAGTTTTTGGTGATATAGATCCACTCACAATCACGAACACAATATTGACAAAATATAAGAGAACAGTTACGCTTTCGGCGTACGAGGACTTTCGTCGTCCCCCGAAGAAACCAGCTGGGGTAAGAATTAACAAAGACTAGACTGTGGTGCTCTTAATTAATTATACTTTGCATTATACGTTTTTAACTAATTAATTACAAAAGTGCTTGCAAGTAGTTTCCACATGCTTTGATCTAATATAGAAAACTATCTTTGTTTTGAACAGATTTTGCAGCGACTGGTTTCCGTTTTCCAAACTTTTTGCGACGACTTTTGACTTCTTTAATAATTACGTCCGGATATCCGCATAGGAGAATTTATATATATATATATAATATAGTAATTTAGCCTTAATTGTTATAGATATAAGTAACTTTTGTTATTTAAAGATGGATTGTAATTGTCTTTTACCTTTGAAGAAAAACAACTTTAGCTTTTACTCGCATATGTCTCAGCCCGTGTCACAAGTACCAAGGGTAGGTGGATGCTATCCAAATTTCTATGCGCGCACACACGTCAATTGAATTTTTTGATAAGGGTAATCTTTTAAACTACTCTAATGCATATGGGAATGAGATTGAACAAAAAGGAAGAATAATGGTTTAGCTAACTGACTTAACTCACATATTAAATTTATTTTAAAATAAACTATGACAAATTAGTGAATTTTACTGAAGTGGTTGTTGGCGTGACTTGTGGACATTGACTTACTTTCCTTACACACCAAGGATTCCTATTTTATTTGTAATTGATTTACTTTAATTCCTGATTTCCTACTGTAAATAGATTTAGGAATTTATTATTTACTTGCCCATTCAGGTTTTGTTGTATTATAAATATGACCTCCTACAAGGAGAAGAATACATAGAAAATTCCCACAAACAAATATTCTCTTATAGTTTTCATATTTTAGCA